CCCCAAATGCATCACTTGAAAAGTTCTTAACAACTCCTCTCCAAATCCAAGAAGTACGTGTTGTCCAAGTATTCCGGATCATCATTGAAGTTGGATCCATATTGTTTACACAACAGACCATTGTTTTCCACCAATAGGATTTTTCTGCAGCAAATTTCCACACCCACTTCCCCATAAGAACCTTGTTTAAAAGCCCCCAACTTCTTTGGCTTACACACCAATTCCCATTTGACCCAATAGATGTTTTTTTTTTCTGTCGACCCCCCCAAAGAAAAGACGCCATGATAGAATTTAATTTGTTGAGAACACTAATAGGGATCCTAAAAATAGAAAGGTAATAAATTGGATTAGAGCACAACACTGATTTAACCAAAACTGCCCGTCCAGCCAAAGATAAAGACTTTGCCTTCCACCCAGCCAAACTATTATAAAATTTTTGTACCACCGGTTCCCACAAAGAAAAAGAATTCCTCTTAGCCCCTAATTGTAGACCTAAATACTCCGAAGGAAAAGCTCCTCTTACACAACCTATTTCCTTGGCCCAAGAAGCTAACTCCTCCTCCCCCACATTGATACCAAAAATTCTGCTCTTATTCAGATTCTACTTCAGCCCCACCAACAATTCATAAATTAAAAGCACCTTTCTAATATTCACCAAATCATGAGTAGATGCCTTGCTAAAAATTATTAAGTCATTCGCAAATTGCAAGTGTGATAACATGAAAGAACGACTCATCGAGCCTAATTCAAACCCTGAAAACAACCCTTTGTTCACTGCTTTCACCAACATTAGATGTAACAGTTCGCCTCCCAAATTGAACAGCATAGGAGATAATGAACAACCCTGTCTTAATCCTCTAGTAGTGTATATTCTCTCTCTAGGTGTGCCATTTACCAAAACCGAAATGGAAGCTGTTGAGATACACTTGTACATCCAAGAACTCCATCTATCTCCAAACCCCATTTTGCTCATTATTTTCACCAATATCCTCCCATCAACCGAATCATAGGCTCTCTTGAAATCCACCTTAAAAACAACTCCCTTCAATCCTTTTTTCCTCCAACACTCAATGCCCTCATTTGCTATATACGAACAATCCAAAATATCTCCCCGGTATAAATGCAAATTGAAATGGACTAATAACTTCACTAATACACAAGCTTAACCTTCTCGCTAGTACTTTTGAAAGAATTTTATAGAAACCCCCAACTAGGCTAATTGGCCTAAAATCTGCTAACCCCTCCGGATTGGCCTTCTTAGGAATAAGAGAAAGGAAAGAGTGGTTGGTGTCATTATCCCAGTCCTTTCCCTCATAAAATTCCTTAAAAAACAGCAACAGAACTCCCTTCAAACTTGACCAGAACTTCTTTAAAAAACCTAAATTCAGTCCATCCGGGTCAGGTGCTTTGTTACTATCCGAGTTAGCAATTACACCCCAAATTTCCTCTTCAGAAAAAGGCTTCTCAAGGGCCATTCTCTGCTGTTCCGAGAGTTGTAAAAAATCCAGGTCCAGTTCCTCCACTTCCAGTGTATTTTCCTGATTAAACAACCCCTTGAAAAAATGCACCACTGAAGTTTTAATTAATTTTGGATCTGCAATGTCTTCATTGTCTACTTTGATGGATTTGATACCATTTCTCCTTCCTCTACCTCTTGCACATTGGTGGAAAAATCTAGTGTTCTTATCCCCATCAAAACTCCACTTCAATCTTGACTTTTGTAGCCATATCGATTCCTCTTTTTTATACAAGTCCCACAGCTCTTTCTTTGCTTCCACTAAATTCTTCATAGACACCATGGGGAGACGTTGCAACTGAAGTTCCTTCTCATGAATTCCTTTCTCCAACCTATTTATTCTCCCGGGAAACTCTAAATACCCCTTCCTAGACCAGTTCTTCACTGCTTCCTGCACCCCTTTTAATACGGTAGAAATCAGTTGTCTATTCTCCACTCTACATAGCTTGTGTAGCCCTCCCTCCATCATCTTACAAAAGCCATCCTCTTCCATGACATAGTTAAATAATTTAAATGGTTTCGAGCCCCAATTCCATCCCCTATTTTCCAGCAAGATGCTGTTATGATCTGAAACAGACCTTTCTAGGAGTTTTTGTGTTATCATGGGGAACACTGATAAAAAACTTTGATCCACTAAGAACTGATCTAGTCTCTCATAAGTTGGAATTTCTCTATTGTTGCACCATGTAAATCGACCTCCAACCATAGGCAAATCCACTAGATTAGCTTTACTCACAAATTCTTTGAAAGCAAAAATTAAAGCTAAATTCACTGCACCTCCAATCTTCTCCTCCTATGACATAACCACGTTGAAGTCCCCTCCGAGACAGACTGGACTGTCTAAATTCTCCAGAAATAAAAGTAGCTCCCCAAAGAACGCCTCCTTTTCTTAATCCACACTCGATCCATACACATTTATGAACCAGCAAGACCCTAGTACCTCATCAATAGTACCCTTAACTGCTACAAATCTCCTATGAATGATCTCCTCTTGAACCTGACACTCTTTTTCATTCCACAAAGTAATCAGACCACCAGCAGAACCTTCAGCTGTTGAAACTGCCGCAGCTGTCAACAAATTTCCTCCCATTTTCCTCACTACCGATTGATTCAACGCTTCCATTTTCGATTCCTGAATGAATAAAACTAAAGGCTTTCTCTCCTCCACAACCCTCCTAACAGCTCTAGCCTTTACCCTCCTACCCAAACCCCTAATATTCCAAGACATTAAATTCCAACTAGTCATCAATATCCAGCTATAACCCTGAATTCCAGCACCCCTTAATTACCCCCTGTACTTCTCTCTCCTTTATCAAAGGAATCATTTTGTTCATAAAAGCTTCTTTCCCCCTCTAAATGTGACCCCTAACAATTCACTTACGTTCCAGCACTCCAAAGCCTCTGCCCCATCCACTTCCTCGTTATTATAAGCATGCTCCGAACTTGTACCAATACGGCTCCTAGATCCCCCCTCCTTGATCGTGAATAAACACGTTTGCACTTACCCCTTCCCACTCTACTCCCAGGTACAGTCTTCCCAGAATTTTGTTGAGCAGACACAACTGCAGGGAAGTAATACAATAATCCTTGCTTAATCTCTCCTTCTCTTGATCCAGCCCACTCCTCACCTGTACTACCGGGCCCCTAAGAAACCCACTCCCACAGTCAACTTTCTCATACTCACTGGGAGGATCTCCCAGACATTTCTCATTTTCTCTCCCTTCATTATCTTCTTCTGACTTTTTCTGCTGGATGGAGACATCACCTGCCTCAGTCACATCTTTGCACAGGTCAAACGTATTTTCCATACCTATGTTTAAATTCAAACCCCCCTCGCTATTTGTGTTTATCTCTGGTTGGGAACTTCTAACCCATACATCAACCCTATTTTGGGATTCTGACAGCTCTCCCACCTGCTCTTCCTGTCCATTTTGCACTTCTTCATTGCTCTATTCGGAAAAACTTTTCTGCCATGGGTCCTTTGCAACTTCTTCTTCCTCCATGTTTGTTAACTCAGGAAAAAAATCCTCCACACATTCAACCTTAATTTTAATCATGAACTTCCTCCCATATGTATTGATGATGACATGTTCGGGAATATCAAATGGACTCTCAACCCTTAGTAACAACTGTGCCACTCTGCAATCCACTCTATGTGCAGTTTGATCTTGAATTCTAACTAACTTGCCCCATCTGAATGCTAAACTAGAAAAGAACAGGACCGACCAACAATTTAATGGAACACCAACCATTGAAATCGCACAATAAGCTAATGGGATGCCCCTCTTCCACAATCGGCTCCAATAATTGAAACCAGAACGACAGAGCTTCCCATCTTTCTTCCATTGCAATTCTTCTCTGCTCGACCGACTGGAAAACTACAAAACACGCATTCTTCTCAAAACCCCACCTTATCACTTTCGCATTGAAGCCCTCGTTCCGTAAGGCTTTCTGCACAAAGTCAACTTCGAAGATATCTTTACAAATGCCAGTAAGTGAAGATTTCAACCATAATCTCTCTTCCACCGGGATAAAGACTTCCAAAGATTTCTTCTCCTCTTTTTTATTTCCTTGACTGCTTACTTGAAGACCCTCTGAAACTTTTTTCACCCCAACTACCGTGTCTCTATACGTTCTTCCATCAAGGAACCTATTCATCCTCTCCATTTTCTCTGCCACTTGTGCTAGAGAAGTCATTCTTCTGCCTTTCAACTCACCTGTTTCTACCCTTTTGGAACCCCCCGCTCTAAACCCTTCACAACTCTTCATCTCAGATAGCTTGTCATATTTAGCTACTGACACAGAAATTATCTTCCCATCAACCCTGACATTATTCATCTTCTCCACCGCATTGCATAGATCCTCCTTGCTTGCAAAGTGAACGAACGCAAACGTGCAATCCTTGTATTTTGGTCTGTTATTGATAAATGGAATAAACACCCTAATGACTTTGCCATGATAACTAAAATGTTCCCCTAATGTTCTTTTGCTCACTCTCCGACTAAGATTATCAACAAACGCAGACCAAGTACCCCCTCCATAGACCTCACTCACTTTTCCATCAGAAAACTTGCACTCTCGCTCTCTCACTCTCTCCATTGCACTTAGTTGCTCTTTAAATTGTGCGAACGAATGTTTGAAAAATCAATTATCTTGTTCAATTGATAATCTGCTAATGGGGAGTAATTTGCTGCATTGTGCATGCCAAAATGTGGGTATTTTTTTTTTAAGAGAATAGTTACCTTCCAAAGATATCTTAGGGAATTTTTGGTTCAAGGAACAAAAAAGAGGGTATACCCGTACATGTGCTATTTATAATGGCCGAGAGCACAGATTTTTTTAGATTAGCTAAGATTGCTGAGATTTTTCAGACTTCCAAATTTACTGTTCCGGTGCATTCTTATGAAAGAAGTTATTCATTTGTTACGTATTTATAACCGATGCTATCTCTAATCATTTATGGAGATATCTATTTTCTTTGCAGGAATTATATCATGAGTTGCATGCCTTGGACAGATTTGAGCAAGATTATCGACGGAAGCTGCAGGAAGAGGATAATTCAACTGCTGCTCAAAGAGGTAACCTCTTTCTTGGATCTCTATTTTTTTTTTCGCATTGTTTACTTTTGGATTAACAAGATGTTTCTAATTTGTTTTCTTGATTAAAAAATGTGTTAAACCCAACAAAAGTGCAGATATGTAGAGTGACAATTTCTTTTTATGTATTCCATTCAAAACCCTCTATGCTAAATTAAGTTTTTTTTTAAGAGTTTTAAGCCTTTTCATTGGCCTTGTGCATGGTAGTGCTTTCTAATGACATTTAGATTGTGCAATTTCTGTGAAGTTCTTGGTTGACTGTTAAGCTTTTTCATGCGCCTTTTGGGGCATGTTAATGCTTTCTTATGACATTTATTTTGCACAATTTCTGTGAATTTCTACGTGCATCCCATAATTTTTCCCTTTGAATTTGTTGCACCTCTCATATTTAGATTGGTAGATGCTACATTCCATTTTTAGGCTGCCCAACCTGGGCATTTATACCTTAGTTTTCTGTGGCCTAGTTTGAGTTAAACTGATATTTCTAGGTTTGTTACACTCCACAATTATTTGCTGTCTCGGTTCTTTTAAGACTGAAGGTGTTCTACGGTTAAGTTCCCCCTTGGTAATTTTTATGGGATATAGTTAATTTTATGAATGGCCCTTTAATATTATAATTTTAACTTTGAACTACAGGAGACAACCTGTCAATATTGAGAGCAGAACTAAAGAGTCAAAAGAAGCATGTAAGAAGTTTGAAGAAAAAATCCCTTTGGTCAAAGATTTTGGAAGAGGTGCAAGTTAGTAAAGCTCTATCTCTTTTCTTTTCAGTATGAGCTCCTAAATGAATTTTAATATTGTTCATCCTTTTTTTCTTTCCATGGACTTTGAGCCTTAACTAATGCAAGTTTTTGCACATAATGTTATTATTTTTGAAGTTAATACATATATATTTGTTCAGGAACAAAGTTTTATATCTTATGTTCATAGGTCATGGAGAAGCTCGTTGATGTTGTTCATTTCTTGCACTTGGAGATTCATGAGGCCTTTGTCAGTACTGGTAAGCATTTAAAACATTAAACTGAAGACATTTGGAAATTGTATTACTTTATTGTAGAATTTGTGATGGCCAAAATATTTAGTTGCACTTGCTTATAAAACTTGAGCAAGGATTGTGACTTGAGCAATTATCAAAGCTTTAACTAAGTATGATTTCTCATGTAAATCGATATTCTTAATTTCCCAGAGTTTGAGAATGGATAATGTAGAAATCAGAGTAATTCTCTGTAATTTCTTATTCTTTTCAATAGGACATATTATATATTTATATACAAATAATCTCTCTAAAGTAGGAAACTCTAAGAAAGGAAAAATACTAATCCTAGGAGATATGATCCCTTAAAATAAGGGATTGTAGAATATTTACAGAATCCCTTAATTAAAAGATATTTACATAATCATATATTTCTATAATTCCTATACTCCCCCTCAAGCTGGAGAATATACATTGTATAATCCCAGCTTGAATAGGAATTTATTGAAAACAGGCTTTGGCAAAGCCTTAGTAAAAATGTCTGCAACTTGTTCTTCTGAAGGAATGTATGAAAGTGTGGTTGTCTTTTTGTTAACTTGATCAACAATAAAATGCCTATCAATCTCAACATGCTTTGTCCGATCATGTTGAACTGGGTTCTTGGCAATTTGAATAGCAGATTGATTATCACACAAAACTTCAAAGTGATCCTCTTGATTAGTGACAAGTTCTTTCAGTAGTTTAAGTAGCCAAATTCCTTCGCATATTCCCAATGCTAGTGCTCTGAATTCAGCTTCAGCACTACTTGAAACGACAGATTGTTTCTTACTTCTCCAAGTTGTAAGGTTTCCCCAAACAAAGGTGCAGTAGCCACTAGTGGATCTCCTTTCAGTAAGGTCTCCGGCCCAACTAGAATCTGTAAAGATCTTAACAGTTTTGTCTTGTGTCTTCTTAAACATTAGACCGTGTCCTGGAGTTTTCTTCAAGTACTTGATAATTCTATTTGCTGCTGCCATATGCTCTTCAGTAGGATTAGTCATGTATTGACTTATCACATTTACAGGAAATACTATATCTGGCCTTGTCAAGGATAAATAAATTAGTTTCCCAACTAATCTTTGAAATTTCTCTTTGTCTACTAAGTACCCATCTTTGTTAAATTTCAAGCTTGCCTCCATTGGTGTATCATTCGGCTTACAACCAAGAAAACCAGTTTCTTTGAGTAAATCAAGTACATATTTTCTTTGGTTGATCACAAGTCCTTTTGACCTTGCCACCTCCATTCCTAGAAAATACCTTAGCTTTCCCAAGTCATTGGTTTCGAATTCCTTATTTAACAACTTCTTCAAATTGCAAATCTCTTCTTCATCATCCCCGGTAAGAATTATGTCGTCCACGTACACAATAAGGATAGCTTTCTTATTTGTAGAAGTTACCTTGATGAAAAGAGTGTGATCGGCTAGGCTTGTAGCCGGTTTTTAGGATGACTTTAGTGAACCTCTCGAACCAAGCTCTGAGTGATTGTTTTAACCCGTATAGAGACTTATTGAGCTTGCACACCTTGTTATTTCCTTCAACAGACTTTAAGTCAGGTAGCAATTTCATATAGACTTCTTCTTCTAGCTTGCCATTAAGAAAAACGTTTTTTACATCAAGTTGGTGTAATTTCCAATCGCAATTTACAGCCAAACTTAGGAGTACTCGAACAGTATTCAGCTTCGTCACAAGTGCAAAAGTTTCTGTGAAATCTATCCCATATGTTTGTGTAAAGCCTCTGGCCACTAGTCTCGCTTTGTATCGTTCGATGCTACCATTTGAGTTATACTTTACAGTAAAGATCCATTTACAGCCAACAACCTTTTTTCCTTGAGGAAGGTCCGTAACAGTCCAAGTAGCATTTTTCTCCAGTGCACAAATTTCCTCTTCAACAACCCTTCTCCATTTTGAATCCTTTAGAGCTTCAACTATGCTTGTGGGAACCTGTTCTTTATCCAAGTTTGCTGTAAATGCTTGAAAAGACGGCATCAATGAATTATAACCAGCAAATTTTTCAATAGGATGCTTGGTGCACTGTCTAACCCCTTTTCTAATAGCAATAGGGAAGTCATCTAGAGTAGGGGAAGTGGACTTACTGATTTCTTCTTCTATTTCGGCAGCTGGACCCAAATCCAATTCTCGGCAAGCATCAGATTGCAAAACAGCCTCAAGAATATGTTTTCTTTTCCTTGTATAGAAACGGAGCTGTTTGATTGGTGGTGTTTGTGGAATATTTTGAATGGGAGTAGGTGTATTTTCAGGAAGGGTATTTAAAGTGGGTATGGGTGAAGTAGTGATAGGTACTACCGGTGGATCAATGGGAGTAGTTACAGGTGACAAATCTGTAGGTAAGGACAAAATTGGTGGCAATTCTGAAGGTTGAGAATGAAGAGTAGGAGGAGATACCTGATGTGGCTGAAAATCCTTCCATGTCTCCCTCTAAATTTCAGCCCGAGTGAAATAGGGATCCTGCTCATAAAATGTTATATCCATAGTGGTAAAAAATCGTTTTGAAGGAGGATGATAGCATTTATAACCCTTCTTAATTGAAGAATACCCAACCAATACACACTTTAATGATTTAGGATCTAACTTGGACTTATTAGGAGCAATGTTTTGGATAAAAACAGTACAATCAAATATTTTAAGTGGAAGAATGGAGGATATAGGTTTAAAATGGGGAAAGTATTGCAAAAATATAGATTGAGGTGTTTGAAATTGTAAAACCTTACTAGGCATTCGATTGATTAAATATGTGGCAGTTAATAAGGCATCCCCCCACAAATATTTTGGAACATTAGTGGTAAATAGAAAAGAACGAGTAACTTCAAGGAGGTGTCTATTTTTTCTTTCGGCAATACCGTTTTGTTGTAGGGTGTCAACACAATAATTAATCTGAACTATGCCTTTTTACCTGAAAAACGCACCCAAAGACTTAGCAAAAAATTCACTGCCATTATCAGATTTAAAGAGCTGAATTTTAGACCCAAATTGAGTGAGAATCATGTTATAAAATTAGATAAAAATACCAGCAGTTTTAGATTTATCTTTTAGCAAATAAGTCCAAGTTATCCTACTGTGATCGTCAATGAAAGTGATAAACCACTTACATTTATCAGCATTCTTCACCCGAGAAAGACCCCAAATATCACTATGGATCAAAGCAAAAAGGTGAGAAGGCTTATATGTAGAAGAAGAATAAGTTGATTTAGTATGTTTGGCAAGAGAACAAACTTTGCAAGAAAAAGAATTTGACCTTTTATGAATGAATAGAGCAGGAAAAACTTTTGCAAGATAGTGAAAACTAGGATGACCTAAACGATTGTGCCATAACATAATATTATCAACTTTTTCTAAAGCGGTGAAAGATTTCGAGATTTTGGTTTTAGTAGAGGCAGGAAGAATGTAGAGACCATTCTGCAAGCTGGCCTTACCAATCATCTTCTTCGAGTTCAGTGCCTGCAAAGTACAATCAATATCATTAAAAATTATAGAGCAGTGCAAGTCGGTGGAAAGTTTACTAACGAAAACGAGATTGCAAGCCAGATTTGGTACGAATAGGACATTTTTAAGTACAATCTGGTCATTGAGAATAACAGTGCCATGTCCTATTTTGCACAAAGAACCATCAGCTGTTTTGACAGCTTTACCAAAGTTTGGAAAAAAATTGCAAAACAAATCCTTATTACCAGTCATATGATCCGTAGCACCAGAATCAAGGATTCAATTAGGGGACGACTAGGAGGAGAAAAAAACTGTAGCATGAGGTTTACCTTTTGGTTCTTTCATGACCAGATTACCTTCTGATTGAGTAGCAGAACCAGAAAAATTTTCTGGATTTGAAGTGATCTCCGGAGTAGGAGAAGAAGTTGTGGACATCGTCTAGGTTGGAAAGAAACCGTAACCTAAGCTGATACCATGTAGAAATAAGAGTAATTCTCTGTAATTTCTTATTCTTTTCAATAGGACATATTACATATTTATATACAAATCATCTCTCTAAAGTAGGAAACTCTAAGAAAGGAAAAATACTAATCCTAGGAGATATGATCCCTTAAAATAAGGGATTGTAGACTATTTACAGAATCCCTTAATTAAAGGATATTTACATAATCATATATTTCTATAATTCCTACAGATAAAATGTCGGAACTTAATTCCTATTCAAAGCTAGATCCTTACATTAGGTTATGCCCTTTTTGTTTTTCAAGGATATCTATCTTCTCTTATTGATTACATCTGTTAATATGACATACATAACTTTACTTTTCATGCACATTTTCTATTATGCTTAAAAACAAAGTATTTGCTATATGTTCTATTTATGAATGGTGTCGGTTTTTGTCTCTGACCTTGCAGGTGGTGAGAAACCTGTTAAAGGTTCTGTTAACAGTCATAAAAAGTTGGGATCTGTTGGTCTTGCTTTGCACTATGCAAATATCATTACTCAAATTGATACTCTTGTAAGTTCAAGATTTTCTGCCAAATGGCTTTTTTACCTATTCTTTATTTCTTGAAGATTTAGAATAGATCAATGAATTGATGTCTTAGGTCCTTTTGAGTGGACATATCTTATTAGAGATTAAGGATAGTGGATCTAAATAGTTTAATTTTGGTTATACACCACAGGAGCATTCATGCTTCCTTTTGCTATATCCTTTTCTACTTATCATGATTGAGATTACAAGAAAGCTCCAAACAAAAAGAAAAAGAGAGAGCATGTGTTATTATTCAGGGGATAGATAACATCAAGAAAATAACCCGAACAGAGAAAATGCTTTGATAGACTGGAGGAGAATCAGCAACAGACGTGATGAATTTATTCTTCAAACTTGATAAAAGCTTTATAAGTATTCTTGTTATTTTAGTAGCGGTATCCTAAATTTGTTTAGAGCTTGTTGTGGACTTGTGAGCCTTATATTTCAGAAGGCTATTTGTAACGAGGGCTTCAACACAAAGGTGGATAGGTGGGGATACGTAAGGAATGCTTGTATCATCACCTTCCCATCGGAGAAAGAGAAGATAGGTGATTTGAGCTTTTGGTTCGATAGGTTGGAGCATGTTTTGGTGGATGGGAGTGTTCCTTTAGCATTTTGCGCGGTTTCCATGATTGGAGTTCCTTTAAATTGTTGTAATGAAACGTTTTTTGTCCAGTTTGGTGTCTAGATGGGGGATGTTAGTGAAGATTAAAGAGGAAACTCTTCAGAGGGTGGATTGCAGAGTAGCTCAAATGCTTCTGAGGGTCGAGAGCCCTTTTGATGTCCCAACCCATTTAACCATTAATGTGAACGGGAGGTCGTATTTGATAAAAACTAAGGTTGAGTTGATTGAAGATTTGTTTCCTGAATTATCTACTTTAGACGATGAGGATGTGTCTAAAGATGCCTGGGAGGAGGACTCATTGGATTGTAGTCGGAGTGATGATCAGGGTGGAAGGGTGGGTTGGGTAGTTTAACAACAAGAACCGACTTCTCAAGAAAGGATGGATGCTTGGATACGGGGAAATCGGACAGGTGGCAGTCTAGGGAATTCTGTTGGAATTAAAGCTACAGGTGGCTCAAGATAGATTTCTCCTAGAGGCTTTTTGAGGAAAGAGTTAATTGAAGGAGTGAACCCCACTCAGCAGGTTATGTCGGGAGAAGTTAATGTGGGTTGTGAAAGTGGTAGGCTTTTGGATGAAATATCTAATGGGTTTGAATCTCCTTTGCAGGTTATTGGGCCCAACAGGAGCCCTAATAATTTTATTAAAGGAGAGAAGCCAACTTCTAGGCCTACCAGGGGATCAAAGGTTAGGAGGAGTGCACGAAGTGAAAGTGGGCTTGATAAAGATAAATTAAATAGCCCATTAGGAGTTTATGTTAACTTATTAGATGAGACGAGTGTCTCTCAGCCTCGGTCAACTTCTCCAAACGGTTCTCCTTCATTGGTTAGGCGTCGACTGTCCGGAAGAAGTGCGTTTGTAGGTAGAGTTGAGAGTGGCTTCTTCGATCTAGTATATTCGAGATCAAGGAAGAGGGGAGATAAGAGTTGTAATGGTCAAGGAGTTTCAATTTCATCTCCGAAGAGGTTGGAGAAAGATGTGGAGGTGATGGAATCTTGGAATGTTAGCAAGTTGTTGGATGTAACTTTTAGAGGAGGGAAGAAAGCTTTTATGAGCAGAGCTGTAACTTTGGCAAAGGAGAGGGAGAAGCAGGGAGAGAGATAATTGGCCTAGGTATTTTTGGGTAATGGAGTTTTCATTATGGGTGAGTTGTCTTTGGTGTCGTGCAATGTCAAGGATTTGGGTAGGAGGGTTAAAGTTAGAGCGATGAGGCGGTTAATAGATGAGAGGCCCACTTTTTATTATTATTCAAGAATCTAAAGTTGAAGTAGTGCGTCCATCCTTGTTAAGGAAAATTAGGGGGAAGCTTCTGCATGGTTCGGTGGTGTCTCCTGCAGTAGGCTCAGCTGGTGGTTTAATCTCTATGTGGGATAAGAATGCGTTTGTTGTTCAGTTGGAATACATCCATAGAAGATTTGTTGCAATCACGGGTAAATTGGAAGGCTTTTCAAATATTTGTTGTCTCATTAATGTGTATGCTCTTCAGGGACCTCTTGTCTTTTATCGAGCAACTTGATTGTCCTATGTGCTTGGGTGGAGACTTTAATGCGGTCATATTGCAGGAGGAGAAATTAGGCGGACCTGCAAATTCATTTTCCATTGGTTTATTTAGCGATTTTGTTTGCAAGGCGAATCTGGTAGATTTTCCTCTCTGGAGGTCGTCTCGCATGGTGCAATAACAGGGAAGTTTCGAAGAAGTCAATTTTTATTTTGCTTAAAGGGGTGAAATCTGTGGTGAAGAGATGGTCAGGAAAGAGGCATTTTGAGCTACTAGGCAGAATTTCTAGTCTTGAGAAATCAATTTAGGAAATGGAATCGGCTATTCAGCAGTGTTCTCCTTAAGTGTTTATGAAGTCGGTGGTTGAAGCGAAAAAAGAATTATGGGATATTTATAAAAAAGAACTGATTTGGTTACAGAAGTAGAGATTGAAGTGGGGATTGGAAGGTGACAGTAATTCAAGATTTTTTCATCAATGTGCTGGAATTAGAGGCAGGTAGAATGACATTAAATCTCTCAAAGTGAATAAGAAGCTTATTTCTGATCCAAGGTTGATTAAAGCTTGTGTGGTGGATCTTTTTAAAGAAGTGTATAACCAGAAGACTACTTCTGAAGTTGAAGATATGGACTTGGTTTTTCCAAAACTCTCGGAGGTTCAAAGTTCAGTTTTAGAAAGGCCATTTTCGGAGGATGATATTTTGGATGCAATTGCATCCTCAGATAGTAATAAAGCTCCCGGACCCAATGGCTTGAATTTAGGCTTCAAAAAATTTTGGGCGAACTTGAAAAAAGAGATTGTGGCTTTCTTCGAAGAGTTTTACAAGGGGAAGGATTAGGAGGGCTTTATAAAATTCTTTCGAAGGTGTTATCAAGAAGATTGAGGTTGTGTATTAATTATATTATTAGCCCTTCGCATTTGTTTTTATTCCGGGGAGACAAATTATGGATTGTTCGTTTATTACGAATGAGGGTATTGAATTTTGGAGGAAAAAAGAGTTGAAGGGGGTTGTTTTTAAGGTGGACTTTAAAAAAGATTACGATTCTGTGGATTGGTCGATTTTGTTGAGAATCATGGAGTGTATAGGATTTGATGAGAAATGGTGTTGGATTTCAAATGTGTCTACAACTTCCATATCGGTGTTAGTGAATGGGTCACCTACGGATGAATTTCAAATCGCTAAAGGGTTGCGTCAGGGTTGTTCCTTATCTCCTTTTCTTTTTAATTTGGTTGGCGAGTTGTTAAATTTGTTGCTTGCTAAAGCAGTGAACGTTGGGTTGTTCATAGGATTTGAGTTAGGTAATCAAGAGCGTTCCTTTATGTTGTCGCATTTGCAATATGCGGACAATCTCATAATTTTCTGCAATGCCTCATTAGGGGAACTGAAGAATGTAAGAAGGGTGTTATCAATCTTTGAAATGATGATTGGGTTGCAGTTAAATTTAACAAAGAGCAGAATTTTGGACATACACGTTGATCCAGAGGTTATAAAGGATTGGGCAAATGTTATTAGTTGCTCAGTGGGTTCATTTCCGTCCGAGTATCTTGGTTTACCTCTTGGGGCTAAGAGGAATTCGGTGGTTATGCGGGAGTCGATTGTTCAAAGATTTTATAAAAAGCTGGTTGGTTGGAAGGCATCGTCTTTGTCCTTAGCCGGAAGGGTGTATTGGTGAAATCAGTGTTGTGTGCTCTCCCTATGTACTTCCTTTCTATCTTCCGATTACCAGTATGTGTTTTGACCAAGTTAAATTCCAAAATGACAACTTTTCTTTGGGTTGGGGGGGGTTTGATAGACGAGAAATATTCATTTGGGTAAATTGGGTTTCGGTGTGTAGGCCTAAGAATTTGTGGGGTTTAGGAATTCCTAACCTGGACCTATTAAATAGAGCTCTTTTAGAGAAATGACTAGAAATTTGCATGTGAAAAAGAATCGTGGTGGAAAAGGGTTGTATGTTGTGTTAATAAATTGGATCTGAATGCAAGAGTGGTAGATAGTTCGATTTCCTCATTTGCTTCGTGGATTTGGAAAGGGGTGGTAAAAAATTTCTATTCAAGCGATGATTTCTCTGGGTGTTTCCGACCATACCCTGCCTGAAGTTTCACTGCGCCCACTGTTAGAATTTCAGGAAGTTAGTGTTCTGCGTTTTTCGGTAATTACTAAAAGGTGGAATTCGAACAGGTTTATTACTCTCAACTTTGAGCAGATTTGTTAAATATGGGCGATCATTGGTATATGTTCATCGACAATCTCAACAGAAGAATTGCTAGGGGTACGTTAAGGGAATTGTTTAATCACCATGGTAAGGTGATTAGAGTCTTTATTCCTCGTGTTAACAACAGAGAAAAATATAGAGATTCAACCTTCGATTTTGTTCACTTTGCAAGTCAGAGAGAGCAGTTGAATGCAGTTAGCAAGTTGAACAACATTGTATTAGACAGCAGAAAGGTGTCGGTAGGTATAGCTAAGTACCCGAAGGTGATAAACCGCCGTCATCAGGGAGGAGTTAACGGTGTTCATATGGAAAACAAAGCGAAGAGTCATCACGGAAAAGCAGTAGAGAAGGAGGCTCTCTTCGATAAGTTTAACGATGGTAGATCCTACAGGGAAGCTCTTGTTAATGACAAAAATCCTTCGGTGAGGGTTGAGAAAATGGTTTCGAAGAATGAACCAAAAAACCTGGTGAACTTTTTCATTCCAGAGGAGGAAAGGGAGTGGATAAAATGCTCATTGACGGATATAGTTAAAGAAGGGTTTGATTTTGAGTTTGTGCAGAGAGCTCTCTACAACGATGGCGTTGATGTGTGGTGAGATGGGACTTTGATAGGAACGCGTGCATCCTTAGCTTCAATTCAAAAGTAGAGATGG